TTCATATAAGCTAACTCTATAGGTGATAGAGTGTGACGGTTTATTATTTTCACAATTGATGTTATTTAATATTGTGTTTTGATGAAAATTAACGATTTTTTAGAAATGTTTATTAATTTAAAAAAATACAAAAGTCTAGTCCTTATATTACTTTAGTATTTATACATCGTTTTGTATACTTTTAATATTTTGTTATAAATTTTAATGTTTAAAATTATCAATACTGAGTAAACTGAGATTCACTGAGTAAAACAATATAATCTTAATTAAATAAAGATTTTTAATTGTTAGATATATTCACCCGAGGATGGTATGAGACCTCATACCGACAATAATGTGGTGTAAATAGATAATAAGTAAGAATTGAAATTTAATGAAAATTAAAATTTAGTTTACCGTCAATTTGGATCGGGAAAGTTGGCTTTGAATTACTTTACTCTTCAATTAATGAAATCACCGATCTTCGGAATACATAGAAATTATCAATACTAAAAATTCCACTGTAAATTATTATATTTTAACTTTTTTAAAACCATATCAATCTGGACGATATGTAATTATTTTTGTTAAATTATAAATTTTCAATTTAAGCATTTGAAAAAAAAAAAACAACAATAAAATGATAGAAAAACTGTCAAATTTACAGTTTTGACAATGTCAATAGTGGCTGGCTCTTGTCTCAAGTCTGGCAAGCAAGACTTGTTACAAAGATATTGGTTAGATCTTGGATCAAGACTGATCAACTAAGACTTGTTAATTGGATATTGGCTGGGTCTTGGTTCAACACTGGCAAACCAAGACTTGTTACATAGACACTGGCTAGATCTTGATCTAGGAGTAGCAAACCAAGACATCAGTTGAATATTGGCATGGCCTTGGGCCAAGGATAATAAGCCAACACAGAAAAAACAATTAACGTGAATCAAGTAAATAATTTTGAAGAACTTCATCTTCTTGATTTAAGTAAAAAAATTCTTAAACCAAGAAATTTTTCTTCATTTAAATAATTTCAACTTGATTTAAGAATTTTTCGTCTTGATTCAAGACAATAAAACTTTTCAAAATTATTTTCTTTTGGTTCAAGAATTTTTCACTTGATTCAAGTTAACTTTTTTTTCTGTGAAGCCTTGTTAATTAAATATTGGTTAACTCTTGAAACAAGGCTGGCAAACCCAGACTCATTACATAGACATTGGCTAGGTCTTGGTTCAAAACTAGCAAACCAAGACTTGTTACATTGATATTGGCTGGGTCTTGGTTCAAAACTGGTTAACCAAGACTTGTCACCTGAATATTGGCTGGGTCTTGGTTCAAGACTGGCAAACCAAGACTTGTTAGATAGATATTGGGTGGATCTTGGCTCAAGACTGGCAAACCAAGACTTGTCAATTGAATATTGGCTGGGTCTTGGTTCAAGACTGGCAAACCAAGACTTGTTAGATAGATATTGGGTGGATCTTGGCTCAAGACTGATCAACCAAGACTTGTCAGTTGAGTAGTGGTCCAGTCGTGGGCCAGTATTGTTCGGCCGAGTCTTGGCAACCCAGTATTGTGCCAAGACAGGCCCCGTTGTATATAATTTTTTTCCTACAAGGGATAAGCGCTTAAAATTGCACTTTTGAGGTTTTTGAGCTCTTCAAGTCAAAAGTCTGATAAAAGTTTCATAGAACACTATTTTTTGAACTTTCGAAGTGCAATAACTCTTGAATGAGTTAACGAATAATTGAAAAAAATGTTTTTTTTACATAGCGTCATTTCTTTTGGATTGTTTTTGATGAAATAAAATAATTTTCGGTGTCTAAAAAACCACGTCGATCGTTGCCAAAAACGTGAAAATGGGTTGATTGGTTGATTGATCGGTTCGAAAGTTCAAAAAATAGTGTTTTTTGAAAATTTTATCAGACTTTTGACTTGAATAGCTCAAAAACCTCATAAGTGCAATTTTAAGCGCTTAGATATGGAATTAGCGGAAGTTGCAGAGATGGCCTTTAGGGTCAACCGTTTTCCAAATTTTTTTGTTATAAATGAGCGTTATGAGACGTGCACTTTTTTGATTTTCCAAACTTATCTTATCTCTCCGTGTAGAGTAATAAATTGATAATTCCGTGAAACTTTTTAAAAATTTAATTCATTCAACTCGGGTTATGATTTTCTTACAGTAAATGAAATAAAGAAGAAAAAAATTTGATACATGAGTAATTTTTTTTTTAGCTTTATAAGAATGTTAGCGCATCAGAACCAATTTTACATATAAAAATAATTTTTAAGATAGTAATAAATTAATTTGTATCAGTTTAATACTTGAATAATCAAAATTTTATACATATATATTAAGAAGTTTACGTCTGAATAACTTTATAACGGCTGTATTTATAGTAAAAGTGTAAGAGATCTTTTTTGTAGAGCGTTAAATTCTCTACAAGAATATGCTATGGACTTATTCATATGAGGTGCGTATGCTGAGCGGTTTGCTGATTTTTGGTCCTCAGACAATTCATCCCCGACAATTCATCCCCGCGACAATTGATACAATAACATGGTTTTTTGTGTGTATTTATTCGAAATTAGACCATTACAAACGTGGATAATCGTGTTGCGCCCTTTTCACATGGTTTTTTGTGTGTATTTATTCGAAATTAGACCATCACATATTCCTTTGACCGTGTTATGCTCTTTTATCATGGTTTTTGTGTGTAAATCATTACTAATATTACAAATAAAAAACAAATAAACAAAAAGCGAATAATTCATCTTGGGCCCAATAATCAATAGTCTGATTTGTCGCTGGGATGAATTGTCGCTGGGATGAATTGTCAGAGTATGAATTGTCAAAAGGATGAGTTGTCGGGGATGAATTGTCGGGGATGAATTGTCTGAGGACCAAAACGCGTCATACCTGCTGAGCTATATAAAAATAAACAAAAAAAAGAATTTTTTTTCCTATGTTATCTGAATGGGAAATGAAAAATTAGGGACATACACCTCTAAATATTAATATTAAGAGCTCCGCTTTGAACAGGCTTCTGTTCTCACCTTCATGCAAGTTTTCAGCCTGTTTTTTCGTTGAAAAAAAAAGTCGCCTAAAATTGACACACCCTAATATATATATATATATATATATA